GGTTTTTGCTTTTGATGGGTGTGCTGTTAAATCAGTAAAAGCAAAAATAAAATTTTTTGTTTGTTTACTTTTCATAGAAAATAACATGGCGCCGAAATTACAAATGTCAGCCAGAAAATTGCTTTTTTCTTTTGCTTCATCTTGTCAGATCTTGTGTAGTTGGATCATGAAATCGCGGTGAATTCGTAAGGATCTATTGATTTTAGATGCTTCCGTTTTACATTGCGTTCAAGTGCATTATAATTGTTTGAATTCATTGCCCATACAATAGATAATTAAGTGACAGTTCACTCCGTTCCGTTACTTCCAGATGCTCACGATATTCACGATTTGCAGTTTTTTTTTTGCAGGAAAGTGTTCCAGGTGCCAAAAAGCCTGCAAGTCAAACCACTTTTGTGAGAGTAACTTGCTCTCTCTCTCAGTCAGAAGTTGCAGGTTTTAGTCCGAAGTTTTAATTCCTGCAAGTTCATCAAAAGTGTCAAACGATAGGCAGGGTTGCATTTTTAAACAAAAACAGATAGCAAAGAACATTAAGCGCCACGGAGACAATCAAATAAATACGTCACGCATTGCATATGTGTGAGATTGGCTCATGAGATTGGCTCGTGTCTTGCCCGCAAACGTTCAAATAAACGCGTTAATTCAACAAACAATTTCTTTTTCTTGTCCGCGCACTTGCTCACCATGACGATCAGAAGGCAAGTGCGCTTGTTTTTTGTTAAGCAAAACGCGGGACGGTTGATGAAGATATTTGATCGTCTCCATGGCGCTTAACATTAAAAAAAAAATGGAAGTAGTTACAGGAAAAGTGGTTTTTCGCGTTCCAGGTGACTTTTATTTTTTCTCTCTTGCTCCTCTCTTTCAAGAGAGTAATTTTGTTATTTGACATTTTTACAGGTTTTTACACGAAGTTATCTGGAAGGCAACTATTATAATCCAGGCATTACACTTTTGTTTAGGTAGTATGGCATAAATGAGTAGTTTGACTATTAGTACCGAGGACTTTCTGATGACAACATTGAAGGAAAAGTACACAAATTTTTCCCATGGTCTGAACAAAAATTAACACTTTGATAAGCACTTTTGTAATTAGTGATAATGAAAAATAACACACCCACACAAAAAAAAATTTGTGTTCTGACCCAAAGGTCTCACTATGTGTAGTTTATGTTTTTGGGGTCGCTGAATCCGAATCCGAGGTCCATTTAACCCCATCAGTTCAGGGTTTTGATATAACCCCAGAAAACCAATATGGCGGACACCTTTTGGAAAAATTCATCGGATTCGCTTGAAACTCGTTACTCGGGGGTTTTTGGGGTCGCTAATTACGAATATGATATTATTTTTTCAAAATTCAAAATGGCGGATCCAATATGGCGGACACATTTTTGTAAAATTCATCGGATTCGCTTGAAAATCGTTACTCAGGGGTTTTAGGGTTCGCTGAACCCGAATTTGAGGTCTATTTAACTCGAATCGTGAATATCGTGAGCATCTGGAAGTAACGGAACGGAGTGAACTGTCACTTAATTATCTATTGTATGGGCAATGAATTCAAACAATTATAATGCACTTGAACGCAATGTAAAACGGAAGCATCTAAAATCAATAGATCCTTACGAATTCACCGCGATTTCATGATCCAACTGCACAAGATCTGACAAGATGAAGCAAAAGAAAGAAGCAATTTTCTGGCTGACATTTGTACTTTCGGCGCCATGTTATTTTCTATGAAAAGTAAACAAACAAAAAATTTTGTTTTTGCTTTTACTGATTTAACAGCACACCCATCAAAAGCAAAAACC